TTCTAAGTCCCGATTGATGTATATTAATATTTAATACATCATTTAATGGTAATTTAGCGTTATGAATTTTTAATAATCATAATAGCGGCCGAGTCGTATGCACAAAATAATTATAAATTTATTATTATAAAACTAATGTAGACATAGTTTTATTTTTAATTTTTATTTATTGAAATTTTCACACAGAAAAAATTTTTCTGAAGACAGAAATTATTTTGGAATAAATTTTTTTGAGAAAAGAAAATTTTATTCTAGTTAAGAGAATTTTCTTGAGTCAAAAAAAAATTTTCTTGTGCATTCTGGATATTGGGTTGAATATTTTTTTCTGTGCGTTATTTTCGCGAAAAAAAAATATAGTGTATTTTAAAATTTGTAAATATTTTACGGTTAAGAATTCATTCACATAAATTCATTATTACATGCGTTTAAAAATTTGAATTGACGATACTCGGTTAAAATTATAGCTTGCAGATAAAATTTTTGAATTTTGATGACAAAATTGAACAAATATTAAACGAATGTTGTCAAACCAAATTTTGAACATAATATTGTCTTGTTTCACCTCGGATCTCTTTAAAAATATTATTTCAATATATTAAAATAAAAATCAAAAGATAAAAAAAGTAATTAAAATTTCCAATAAAAATAAATTCTGTCGGGATTGTACCAACGGCTAATGATGACAAGTTTGAAAAGGAAAGGCAATTAATCTGCTTATTTAGTTTCCTTCTCTTGCTCGGCTGTTACTTGCGCTCGTGCTTTATTTTTATTCAAAACAATGACAACAATGATAATAATAGTAATAATGAAAATAAAGTAATAATAATGATAATGATAATGATAATAAAGACTCCTTCTCCCTTTCTTGCTGAGATTTACGCACAGAATTGTGTGATACCGGAAAGAAAAGGAGGATGATAATACGACGGGGTAGAAGAAATGTCTTTGTATATGTATTTATGTATCTACTTAGGATATTAAAACTTGTGATTATGGATGCATCAGCTCTGTATGGGCTGTGCATATACACAAGGAGTGTCATTTTGTAGTGAATTTTTTTTTTACTTTTCTATGTACGCTGTTGAGATTTGCTAAATTATTATAATGAATTTTTTCTTAAGAAAAAAAATCAGTGAAAAAAATTTTAATTTTTTTGAAATTTTATTTTGAAAGTTTATTTGAAATTATTAAAAAATTTAAAGAGCTGAAATTTTTATTTTTATTTATTTTTTTGTGGTTAAATTTTTTTTTTCTCAAGAATTTTGACAAATATTTCAAAAAAATTTTTACTGAATAATTTTAAAAAAAGGTCAAAAGTTTTTTTTTTAGAAAATTTTGACTTAAATATTTTCAATTATTTTTTTTATGAGTTGAAATATTTTTTTGATTAGAAACATCATAAATTTACCGAAAAATGTTTGTGTGTGCGAAATAAAATAGCCGATTGATATTTAATGCAAATAACTGAAATAAATAATTGCAAATAAAATAAGGTCTAAACCTTGAAGTTATTAGTGGAACACCGTAGAGCGACTAATAATTAAAAGTAAAAACTAAAATGTTGTAATACTTAAGACAAGATTTTGGACATGTAAAAATAATAAAATAAATAATGACGTCTGTCATTAACATAAACGAGTAAATAAATAAATAGTGTTGTGAAGTAACGACTATGAAAACTATAAAGGTGGACGCTTGTGAATAAATTTATTTGCGTGTGTGTGATAATAATTACTAATAAATAAAAGTACTTACTACGGCGGCAGCCAATTTTTGACAAAATAGTTTAAAGTGGTACATTAATAACTAAATGGAATAATATTGATAACGATAATTGAAGATATAAAGTCTATTTAACGATTTACATGAACGGGTTGTCGCTGTCGTATTTGTTTATTATAAGTATTTTTTTTATTTTTAAGACCCAACGACTAGCGACGCGGTGACGGCGGTTTAATAATTACGATATATTATCATCGATTTGATTACATACGCTGTTATCGGTTTTTCTTATTAGAAACAAAGTAATATTTTATTGTTGAATAACTAAACCGTTTTTGAGGTATTGGAAAAAGGTATATGACAAGTTTTTAATAATAATATTGATATTAATAATACTAATAATAATAATAATAATAATGATAGTAATAATAACAAAAAATAAAAATTTTTTAATAAAAATTTATTTTATTTAATTTTTTAATATTGATAAAAAATTTTTTTAATAAAAATCACTGTTAAAAATTTTGAAAATCAAAATTGTATAATTTAATTATTTCCAAAATTTTTTTCTTCATTTTCAAAGTCAAATATTTAAATTTTTTATCCAAGAATTAGTAAAAAAATTTTTTTTGGTGCCAAAAATATCAAACAATGTGAGCTTGAAATTTTTCAAATTTATACAAAAAAAATTTGTTTCAATTTTTTAACTTAAAAATTTATTTTATTTATTTTTTTAATGTTAAAAGAAAAATTTTTTAACAAAAATCACTGTTAAAAATTTAAAAAATCAAAATTGTGTAACTTAATTATATCCAAAATTTTTTTCTTCATTTTCAAAGTCAAAAAATTCAAATTTTTTATCCAAGAATTGGTAAAAAAAATTTTTTGGTGTCAAAAATATCGAACAATGAAACAATGTGAGCTTGAATTTTTTCAAATTTATACAAAAAAAAATTTGTTTCAATTTTTTTGCTTAAAAATTTTTTTTTTTTTAAATTCATCATTACTAAAGTCAAAAAATTACTGATTAAATTTTTGAATGAAAAATTTTTTTGTTGACAAAAACACTGAAAAATAACTTTGACTTCATTAAAATTGAAATTGCAATAATTTTTAACATAAAAAATTGTTAATTATAAAATTTTAAACAGTGATTAGCCAAAAAAAAATTCTAAATTTTTTTATTATTGTTATTATTAATATTAATTATTACCACGTACTAAAAGTCTAAAAACTCGAGTTTTTGAAAGTAAAAAATGAGAGAAAAATTCTCTAAACTCTTGTGAGTACTCACTTGAACACAAGTAAATGTATAATAAATTGATAAATTTATTAAATTGAGTTGGAAATTGTGTAAAAATAATAAATAAATAAATAAATAAATAACCATGTACGTGATTAAATATTAAAGATATAATATGTAATCATTTGTGAGAATCGACCGAATAATTGACACTAATTATTATAATTATTATTAATAATTTAATGATAAATTAATAATTAATAAATAACAATAATGAATAATGGATAATTAATTATAAATTAATATAAATAATAATAATATTAATATGATGAAACGTTAGTTCTGTTTTTGAGTGTTTAAGAAGAAATAATAAATAACAAACAACAACAAGATATTCATTTGTAATTGTTTAAATCTAATGAGAAATGTAATGTAAAACCTAGAAGAGTCCAAAACTCACTGTATAGGCACTAAAAATATATCATTTGTTGACATGAAATTTTATTCTTTTTATTTCTCCTATTTATTCCAGGAAGAAAGGTAAAAAAAATTATTTTTAACATTTTTATTAATTAATTTAAAACTAACAACCTTGCAGTCACTATGTGACTGCCGTGACTTGTGAACTATAAATAAATAAAATTTTGCTTTATTAAATAATTACTTTTGTTAAATTGCACTGTACTTTGTTAACTATTGACGTATTTAAAGATATAAACTCATCCCGATGTTACACTCATCAAGAGCTTTCATTTGAGTATCTACATGCAATTTGATATATTTTTCATATTTACATATATATAATATATATAAATATATGAAAAAATGATGTAGGTACTTAAATGAAAGGTCTTGATAAGCGTATCATGGGGATGAGCTTATATCTTTAAAAATGTCAATAGTTCTCAACATACAAGGTCATTTCTTAATTATGTATCTAGACAGAGTATTTTCGAATGCAGCCTAAATACTTATCATCATATATTGACTATTGGTGAGAATGATATGAAACCATGAAAAGGCACAACTCCAGGTCAAGACTTTTCCAACGATACCAAATTTAACCATAAAAATCCATTTTATCATATAAATACACTGGCCACAAGATTTTACTTGTTCTCTTAATAATATAGATAATTTTTTTATTAATTAAAATTATTTAATTTATTTTAGTCACAATTTTTTAATGTTTCAAAAAAGGTTTAATATTAAACACCAAAAACATAATACTTAATCATTTTTATTTTCAATAAAAAAAATTTCTTATACATTTTTTTAGGTAAAAAATTACACTATTTTTTCTAAAAATAATTAAATAGTACATTATTAAAAGTTTTACATTTTACAAAAATATATGCATGTATTTTAACCACTAACTTAGTATTCTATAAATAACATAAAAAAATAATAAATTTATTTTTTGAACTATTGATTTAAAATTGCGGGTTTTTATAAACCTCAAGTGCTTAAAAAAATTTAATAAAATAATCCGATAAACCACGAAGTTTATTTTTCAATAAAAAAAGTTCTAAATAAAACGGGGAAATATTTCCGTCCCGCATTTTATTTCTAAAACGTCAATTATTGTTTTTTATCAATCATTTAATCATGATTGACTTACAAGCAGGTACTACACACGATAAACATTGACGTGGAAGCTAAATTTATATGTTTTTAAATAAAAGCCGTACCATGATTGAAGCTCTGCGTTTGAAGTTCGGAAAAAAATTTAATCAAATCCGATTTTATTCTAAATTTCCAATTTATTTGAAAAAAAAAAAAAAGATATTTTTTAATAATTAACATAAATCAATGCGGCTTTCAAAAAGCGTTCGCTTGTATTTTAATAATATTTTTAAGGCTTAAATTATTGAGAGAAAAAATATTAAATAGGACGAATTTAATTGCCGGTCAAGAATTACTTGAACAATTTTATTTATAAAATTAAAAAAAATGATATTTAAATTATAATGATGAGTGTTTATAAATATATATGAGAAATTATTTATTTAGTGTATGATAAAATTTATAAAAGCTATTCGTTGGGGGAAATGGTGGGGTCGAAGGAATTGGTAATCATTTTTTTATCGTCGGTGGCAGCAGATGTATGAGGGGATAAAGCTTGTTTTTTTATCGCTTCTTGTTCCTCGGCTGGCTTTGATGTATGCCCAATGATCCTCATCAGACCTTTGTAATTAATTAACTCAATCAATTTATTTACAAAGTACTTGTCCTCTTAGTTCTAATTACTATATCCTATATCTATGTACACTAATCCGATCTATATTGCAGATATTTCAAAGTATTGCTACTACCTATGCATTTTTTTTATCTTTGGTCATTAATCACGATTATTACTTAAATTTGCGCTTTTTTAATTTACAATGAAAAATTTTTGGTAATTATTTACAAGTGGGGTCAACCTTATTTTGGGCCATAACTAGGTGAAAAATTAATATTTTCAAATTTTTTTTTGATTCTGCTTGTTTTTACGGCGCATTTATGATAAAAAATGTGAAAGAAAAAAATAAAGATTTCACTAGCTTTTTTGCCTTTAAAAGTTGGAAAAAATTTTGGCTATGTTTTGGATAAAATTTCTATTTTATCATTTTTTTAATTATTTTTTTTTTAAAGTACATAAAAAAACGAACAGTTAAAAAAAAATTGAATATCACAATTTTCTAAAAAATTTATAAATTTTTTTGAAAATTTGTTAAAATTGTGATAATCAACTTTTTTTTTTTAAATTGTTCATTGTTTTGTGTTTTTCAAAAAAAAAAATATATCAATAAAATCAAACAGAAATTTCGTTAAAAAAAATGAAAATGAAAATGGTTTTTACCGAAAAATAATAATTATAAAATTTCTTTGCAATATTTAAAATTTTCAAAAATATTAATAAGATCTCCCTTAAAAAATTCGATATTAAAATTACATTTTACTTAATTTATATTATTATTATATCCATTTTTTAGAAGAAATTTTCTAAAAACTTTAAAATCAAATTTTTAAAACAACAAATTTTGATTTTCAATCAAAAATCAAATTTTTATGAAATTTAATTTTTAAATGAATATTTTAATTTCAAATAAAATTAATAATAATAACAATAAAAAATAAATAATTTGTCACCTATTGTTTCCCCGTTGGCGATGATTCCTGTTCATGCAGCAACCAAGTAGTCCAAGTGAAGTGAATTTAAAAAATATAAAAATAAAAATGTCTTGTTAGTCACGCTCGTCTACTCGAGTCTATTTTATCAAGCCCATCGATACAAAAATAATATAAAAAAAAATGTTTAAAAAAGAGTTTCTCTTATAGAAACTTTTTTTTCCATCTATACATAGAATAATATATTATTACTATTATATATATTTTTTTTCAATTCTTACAAAAGTAAGATTGAGACAAAGTAACACTAGCTTACTTACCTAAATGCTACATGAACATTTTTATCTCCCTCCCTATCATTCCATCTTTCTCTCTTTCTCTCTGTCTGACGGGGTGAATCGATTCGGGTAAAGTGGAGCATTGGGAGCAGAGCCGAGCTTGAGAGCTACAGCCTGAGGGCCGAGGGTGTATAAGTAGTAAAACCCAGTAGTAGTGAGCCACTGGGGCACTGGTTGTTGGGCGCCAGATACTCCAGCGACAGAGACACCCTCGCAGAGACAGAGAGAGAGGAAGATTCGAGTTTCGTGATACAAAGGTAGCGAGTATGAGTGTGAGCAGGAGGAGAAATTTCTTCTCCGTCCTCCGGAGGAGGAAAGCTCGGTGCTTTAATAAAAAATAGTTAGTGCCAACTTACACTCACCGTTGTCGCGGTACTTGCTGAGTTGCTGATAGACCTGTTTCATCCGCTCGATGTTTATCCTTGAGCTTTTGCTGTGATTAACCATCGGCAGCGAATAATCACGCCCGATTATACATTTAGCGGACTTCTGGACGCATAGAGGCGCCACCCACGGCTCGTGGATGTAACGCGTAGGATAGTTCTTCAGGACTGGCAAATATCGTCTATTTTTTTGTTTTTTTTTTTTTTTAGGTTTGATTCATCAATTTTTTTTTTGGGGTTTGAAAACAGACATAAAAATTATTTGTTTATTATTAAACTGAGAAAAAAAATTTTAAACACTCAAAATTGACCAGAATTTAAAGAAAATTTAATATTTAATTTTTTTTTTTTGATTAAAATAAATATAAATTTTGGTAATTATTTACAAGTGAGGTCCACCATTTTAATTTTCATTTTATTGAACTGAATTTCTATTTGATTTTATTGTTGTATTTTTTTTGAAAAATACATAAAAAAATGAACAATTAAAAAAAAAAGTTGTTTATTGCAATTTTGATAAATTATACAAACTTTCAAAAAAATTTATAAATTTTTTAGAAAATTGTGATATTCAACTTTTTTTTTTTTAATTGTTCGTTTTTTTTGTGCTTTTCAAAAAAAAAAATATATCAAAAACATCAAAAAAAGATAAAATAGAAATTTTATCCAAAAACGTAAGAGCGGGAATTTTTTCAAACTTTTGGAGGCATAAAAGCTATCGAAATCTTCATTTTTTATCATAAATGCGCCGTAAAAACAAGCAGAAAAAAAATTTGAACATGTTAATTTTTCAATTAGTTCTGGCCCAAAATCGGGTGAACCCCACTTGTAAATAATTACAAAAAAAATTTTAACACTCAAAATTGACCAGAATTTAAAAGAAATTCAATATTTAATTTTTTTTCATTATAATAAAAATTAATTTTGATATTTTTTGTCAGAAAATTAATTTAATTTTTTTCTATAAATAATTTATATTTTTACTCAATGTAATTATTATTTTTTGGTTGATAAAATAAAAAAGAAAGAATGAAAAAATAAATAATAGAATAAAGTAAGTATTAAAGGATATAGAAGCTACCTGATGTAATCGCCATTGGGATCGGCTTTGCGGCCGAACCGGACTGGACAGTAACAATGGAAAAATTGTTGGAAAAATGAGCTGCAAGAGAGCCACATCCACATACCGGCATTGACTGACCAATCTGCGTCGAGTAATAGTTGGTCGAATATCTAAATGATTATTAATTAATAAAATTCTATATTTAGGTAGCGATAGATTTTGTTATTAAATTTTTTAGGGTAAAAGTGTTGAAGAAATAGAATTATTATGTTATATGAGGACAATTAGTAAGAATCTCACGTAGAATAGAGAACAATACATCTAGGAGTATTTTAATTTGATACCTTCATTCCTTCTTCCCAAGAGATCCAGAGATCGCCCCTTGTCAAAAAACAAGCGACTGCATGACGGGCGAGATGATGAATCCAACCCTCCTCACGCAATTGAGTCATTATTGCGTCGATCCACGGAAATCCTGTTTGCCCCTAAGTATTTTTAAATTATTGTCATTAATATCATATTATTATTATTGATTTTCAATCTTAATAATAATAATAATAATAATAATAATAATAATAATAATAATAATAATCACATTAGCCCATTTGGCAAGAGCTTCATTATTTTTATCCCAAGGAATTTGCAGACAAATAGGATTCCCCTGCATCCGATCAAAATTTGGATTTTTAGTCGCTGCGCAATAGAAAAACTCTCGCCAGAGCAATTGTCCATGAAGAGAAAGTGGCGGGGAGGCTTTTTTTATCTAAACAGTAAAAAATCAACAATAGAATTGGATCAAAAAATAATTTTGAACCGGCAGGTCAATAAAAGTTCAAACCTTGCGATACAAATCTCTAAGTTGATAATAAAATAGCCTGGTACTGAGACAACCGAATCGTAAATAAGGCGACAGACTGGTCTGATTGGGCAGCAGAGACTGGGGTGTCATTTTGGGTCTTCCGAAGCTCGCGACCCAGGCTTTGCGACCCAAATGTCGCTCCAGTCGTGCCAGTGCTTCGCTTTCGCCTCCGACCCACACTGAAGATTGGAGACCTTCTGTATCAAACCCTGAGGGAATAATAACCAGCCGTATTCAATCTCTTTACTCACTGATCGCTTCAAGGGTTAGATCGATATTTTTTCTCTAACTGTTCATTTTTTAATTATTCATTTGATGTTTATATATAAATTAACTTTACCAAAGATTTAATAGAGTAATGTTAGGACGAAAATTTTATCCTGCGAACCGGAGGTGTCTTACCGAGCTCTTCGAGGGTTGGAACACCATACAGGTCGTCATGGTCCTCTCTGAGGGGTGTGAATGCGTCGCCGATACACTCAGCGGTTATTGTAGGTACTGGAGGTACCGGCGGGTCCATTTCTGCGACGATGTTTTGGAATTGGTGATATGTTAATGGTGGCTTTCCTCCATTTTTGTCTAAAATTCTTTAAAAAAAAATTAAAAAAAAAAAACAATAATAATAATTTTTATAAAAATTGAATTTTATAATTACTTTTTCTTTATAAAAAAAAATTTTAATTTTCTAAAAAAAAAAATGATTATCTGAAAAAAATTTTTTTCTAATTTCATAATTAAGTAAAAAAAAAAAATAATTTAATTTTTTACTCGAGGATCACTAGATCCCGTCACTCAATTCAGACTAAAAAAAAATGAAAATAAAAGTAAAACATTAAAAAAATAAAATAAAAAAATGTAGTTACACAGTACATTTAAATAAATGGGAAGTGTATGTAAAAAAAGAGTAAAAATATATGTGACCGACAATAGCGCACCTGGCGCATCAAAGAGATTAAGAGATTCCCGAGAGAAATGGAAATGAAGAGGCTCGAATTATAACGAAGTATCAAACCGTGCGTGAGAATTAAACGCAAAACCTACGAGCCTGGCATTTAAACTTGTACTACTCTATCTTGGAAACGTGTGATAGATGGTTGTGGATAAAAAAATATGAGAGAGAAACGTCGAAAGGGCACGGACTCTACCAAAACCACCGGGTGATAAAACTAAAAACAAAAACCAAAAAACTACATAAAAATCCAAGCTCGTAAACTTTTTACCGAGATATTTATGCACTCTATTCTAGGACGAGATAGATAACGAATTATATTCATCCGTACGACTGTTCGTTGTCGAATCATATTTTTTTTTTCCTTTTGCTGATTTGACGGAAAATTATTACGCTCGCGGGGCATATTTCTTTTAATGCCAATGAACACGTTAATTGATTTTGCGTTATGTTTAGTGAATTTTATTAGAATTTTTTTTTATTAAGTTGACAACTTTGTATAAAAAGCCGATTGATTTTTATGACTTTGGGTGGTTTCAAAAAGTCAATCGGACCCCAATTGACGGATTTCAAGGGTTGATTCGAGAATTTTATGCACTGATAGAAAAAGTTACTTCATTTTTAATAAATTAATTAATTTAAAAACAATCTATTCATTTGTTAAATAAATTTGATTAATATTTAACTTTTGATAAATATTTTTCATCCATTATTTATCAGTTTTTATGAATTATTTTTATTTGAGACTTTTTTTTATAAAGAAAACTGTTAATATTAATTAACAAATAATTCGTTAATAGTCAACTAATATTTATTAACTTATTTGGAAAATAATTAAAAATTTATTAAACCATTCGTTCAAAAATATTTAATAAACACTAGCAACCTTGCAGTCAATTGAGTCACTATGTGATTGTCGTGACTTGTAAATTATAAATAAAGAACATTTTGCTTTATTAAACAATGGCTTTTTGTTAAATTGCACTGTACTTTCTTAACTATTGACGTTTTTAAAGATATAAGCTCATCCCGATGTTACACTCATCAAGAGCTTTCATTTGAGTACCCACATGCATTTTGATATATTTTTTATATATTTAAATATATAATGCATTTCTGAATAAACTAAAAGCAGCTGTAGTGCAGTGTAGTGCACAAAAAATCGGGATTAAATTCGGATTGAATTTATATTTAAATTTTTATTTGTCTAAAACAAGTTTCAACGCGAAATTTTTCAAAAAAAATTTGAAATTTCCAAAAAAATCAAAATTTAAAATAAAATTTAAATTAAAAAAAAAATTTAATTTAAATAAAAAAATTTTTAATCTTCAAAAAAATCAAATTTTCAAAAAAAAATTTCGAAGGGAAATTAAAATATTTTAATATTTCTAAGAAAAAATGTACATTAGCTAAAATATGGATGTAAATAATGGATTTAATTAAGTAAACTTACATTATTTTTTCTATCAGAATTTTCACAATCTGAGATGGTTACAGTTACCATCTTCGATTGTAACAGTTATAATTTATAATAATTACAATTATTATTTTTGATAGTAATCGTTACCATTATTAATAGTAACTATTGCAATTGTCAATGATATTACCTATTATTTTGTTACTAATTAATTTTATTACCATTTTAGACAGTAGGAGTTACTATTTTTATATAGTAGGTAGTAAAATTAATTTTTCTCCGTGTACAAATAATAATTCATTAAATCATCAGTTAAAAAGTAATTGATCAACTGTTACTAAATCTAACTAAATATTACCAAATGCTTCTATCAGTGCGGACTTCAGACATCTGACAGATTAATCTAATCCGTCTTAAGATTTATCACCGACAACTTGTTGCATAACTAATCCCTAAAATGTCACATCAATAATTATCAAAAAATGTAAAATAAAAACTCACTCATCTAATTTATAAAGTGTGTGAGAGACCATCTGAAGAACTGAAATTCCGAGTTCCCTACAAAGCGTGGTAATATTATGATCCCTCGCGCGGCCAAAGGGCTCGGGATCTTCTTCAAAAGTGAGATTAGTGGTCCCCCATTCGCGGAAGATCTTCGGCAAGACGTCTGCCGGCTGTCCGCGAATCACAAACAGCCTCGAGTTCAGTTTCCTGAGCGAGGCGTCGAGATCTTCCAGGCACTGGAGGAGAAATCTGTGCAGAAATAATCTGTAGTATCTTTAATAAGTGAAAGAATTGTTAATAAAAAATAGAAAGGAGAGAACCTCCACTTGTTGATGCCGATGCTTTTACTTCCAGCTGACCAGGGATCAATCACAAAAACGCATCGGAAGGTATTGGCTCCGTTGAGACCTTCTCTCAGAGAGGGATTGTCATGTAGACGGAGTCCTTTTCTGAACCAATGAACCGTGTGTTTACCTCTGTCACCAGTCGTTGCACTCCCGGTGGTTGTTGTCGCCGTTCCAGTACCACTTGCTGTCGTGTTCGGGGTGATCGAGGCATCTTTTATGCCCTCACAGCTCGGTACACCCCTACCGCGGTTGTTGTGCCGGCTACCGGTCATATCTTTTCTGGTTTATTTTTTATTCATCCTCTTACTTTACTTACATCTTTTTTTTTTTACTGGAAATAAAGTTATTTTTGTTTTTGTAATTTTTTTAAGAAAGAATTGAATTTATTTTTAGTTAAAAATATTTTTCAGATCCTATTTTTTGACTGAAATTTATTTTTATTAACAAAGTTTGTTCTTTTTTTTTTTAATAAAATTAAAATTACAATTATTTAAAAAATTTTTTATGACAATTTATTAAGAAAATACTTTTTTGACACTTAGTGTTTATTTTAAATTATTCCAAAAAATTTTTGGAGTTAAGATAAAAATTTTAAGTATAAAAAAAATATAAATCTTCATTCTTAAATTTAATTTTATTTAAAAAATTTTTTCAATTTAATTTATGAACAAAAATCTTTTTGAGCATTTAATTTTATTTTCAAAAATTTTTTAAATTAAAAAAATTTGTGTTTTATTATTATTATAAATTTTTTTTCTTAATTTAAGTAAATTTTATGAGATTCAATAGTTTTTTTTCTCGAATCAAGACAATAAAATTCTTCAAAATAATTTTTTTAGTTAAAAAATTATTCTTAAAAATCAAGTTAATTTTTATTTAAGTACAGTAATTACTTTTGATTATTCTCCGAAATTTTGCTGTAAATAATAGAAGAAAAATACAAAGTATTGTTCGCTCGAAAGTAAACTAAATTTAGTTCCCAGGCATTTATGGTAAACTGACATCTCATTACTTCGGATTACCCGAAGTATGATATAACATTGCAACTATTAAGTAATAATGATCCATATACTCGGTTTACATAAATAGTTGCCAGATCGTAAAGTAACAGCGGCTGTTGCTGTTGGAGCTACAGGGCGAATAGACTAAAGAACCGCATAAGAAACAACGGGCTGCTTTGAGAGCGCAGTATCCTAAGAGAAAGTCCTTTTTAAAGTTATTTTATTTAAAATTTATTTATTCAACTCTGCCGGCGGAGTCACGTGTACGGTAACGTGCTAATATTATTATACACATTTACTTAATCGTTCCCTTTCTCTCTGTTTTATTTTCATGTACATTGTACCTAAATATATCAATAAACAATAGACAAAAAAGATGTCTTGCGTAACTTTTGAATGAATTTTTTGAAAGGGTGAATTGAAAAATTAATTAAAAATTGATTTGTTTTACTCCGGGAGAAAAAAAGAGATGAGAAACAATAGATCGAGAAATTCTTTATTGTCTGAGTCTACTATTTAATAATTACGATCGAGTCTTCAAGTCGGCACAGTAATTATCGGGGTTTTTCAGAGAGACAAGAGATAAGAGACAAGAGCTGACGAGAGACCGGGTTACAATCGCGTTAAAAATTAGTCAATAGGTTTCACCGCTGAATCGATCACTTCTATATACTTCTCATATCGCCGTCAGTAGCACAAGGTTATAGACACTGAGAACTAACGCTATTGTCTGTCGTCGTGCAAAAATAATAATCATTTGTTTGATTTTCTTTTTTCATTATTTTCTCTGGTTTTATTCTTCTTTTTTTTAGGCTTTATTTATATCACTGTTATTTGTCACCGTAGGAAGATATTTTAATTTTATAAAAAGTCACTTTGTATATCGGTGAATGAATTGATTTTAATGAAAACAATTCATGGATGGATGATTCTGTCAGAATTTTGATAACAGAAAGCTATTATTAGTTGAATTATAATTAGATCTTATATATTACTATGAAACTTTTATTTATTATTATTACTAGCAACCTTGCAGTCATTATGTGACCGCCGTGACTTGTGAACTATAAATAAATAAAATTTTGCTTCAATAAATAATGACTTTTGTTAAATTGCACTGTACTTTCTTAAATATTGACGTTTTTAAAGATATAAGCTCATCTCGATGTTACACTAATCAAGAGCTTTCATTTGAGTACCCACATGCATTTTGATATATTTTTCATATATACATATATATAATATATATAAATATATGAAAAATTGATGTGGGTACTTAAATGAAAGGTCTTGATGAGCGTATCATGGGGATGAGCTTATATCTTTAAAAATGTCAATAGTTCACAAGATACAAGGTCATTTCTTAATTATGTATCTAGAGATAGAGTATTTTCGAATGCAGTCTAAATACTTATCATAATAAATTGACTATCGGTGAGAGTGATGTGAAACCTTGAAAAGTCCCAAATTCAAGTCAAGACTGTTGCAATGACACTAAATTTCTCTAAAAAACTGATTTTATCATATGACTATCTTGATGGACATAAAATTTTTCTTATTCTATTTATAATATAGATTATTATTGTTATTGAAAATTGAAATTAATAATAAAAATAAATAATTTCGATTGAAAGCTAAAATCACATTATATTTAATAAAATTTAATAAAAACTTGTTTTTTGATTAAAAGCAAAAATTTTGTATTTCATAAATTAAAATTGAAATCTTAAAAAATTCAAAAAATTATTTTTAAAAAATTGAAATAATAATAAAATAAAATGTAATTTCAAAAATAATTAATTTCAACATCAAATCTTCTAAATAAAATCTTATTAATATTTTTGATAATTAAAAAATAGTAAGGACTAAAAATTCCACAATTAAAAATAAAATTAACAATGTAAATTAAATTTAAAATAATACAAACCTTAAAAATTAACAATTAATTCCAAAATAGGAGCACAGTGTCACAAAAAATAATCACTTTTCACCCATACCTGTCAATCACGGCAAAAACACTAAAAATTTATAAAAATAAAAAACGAAAACATACGAAAATACGGACACTATTTTGAATTGTCTGAAAAGCTTGAGCTACAGTTGTAAGATTAAACGTTGTTCCTGGCGAGGGGCCTGAAGAGTGTGTTTCAAATCCACGCCGAGTGCAACGTGACCACATACCCGGAGACTAATACGATTGGTCGCGTTAATCACGTGATTATTAAGTCACGTTGCACTCGTCGTGGCTCATTGCGTTACTTTGTATCATATTTAATATTATTATTTAAATAATAGTCTTATTTTGCAACCCCACTACCAAGACATTCAATGCAACTGTTATTTCTTCTTGTACTTATATTATGTCTAGGGATAAATTATCGCAATTAATTTTTATGAATCGAAACACTTTTCATTAAGATACAGTGATAAAGCAATAATGCAATTAATATGTCGATACTAAATGGTAAGTGTACTTGTCTGGAGCATACGATCTTTATCTCCTTTCGCTTAACACACTAAACTCAATACCGTATTACATATTTCCGTTAGTACCCATGTCTTAGTGGGTAATACTTACTGTTAAGTTGAGTTACGCTTATGTATTGAACATGTAATAGATTACGTTCTGTTACAACGTAATAGTTTCACTTGACCTGTTAATTGTTTTTCTGGAAAACATTTTTATCACAGGTACAAAAAAGTGACATAAATCTTTTCTGTAGAAAATTTAATTTCCTACCAAAAAGATCTCTTATGATTTTTTTGAATCTCAAATATTTAACAAAAAATTGTAAGCTTTTGGAAATACATCTAGTTATCCTTTTGATCTTGGACAATGTCTATATAAACTTTGATCTCGAATTTTGAGTGAACGAGTAGAGATACAAAAAAAGGCCATTCGGCAGCCAAAATAGAAGTAGATTTTTAAATAAAGAAAATTTATTATTAATAAAATAATATTAATGCGAATAATGTATAAACTAATTCATTGATTAAAAACAAAATTCAATAATAAATTTATAAAACTATTTAGAACTAATTTTGTTAAAAAAATTATCTTGTAAAGAAAAAGTTTCTCAAATATTTATCAAACAATTTCAAAGATTATAAGATTTGTATTATCAATGTCCAAATTTTAAGTGATTGCTTAAGAACAACAGTTTCCAAGTTAATCAGAATTTTGAAACCGGATAGAATTCTAATTGAAGAAAACAATATTTAGAACTAATTTGTGACACATAAATACATACATATATAAACTTTTGAACGAAGTACATTTTCTGACTTAGCTCGACAAACTGAGTCAGAAAATAGCTAAATTTTTTAAAAGTTCGCCATGAGGACGGCTGCAATAGTTAGATTTTTATAAAATCTACTAAAAAATTGATAAGCACCTTTCTTGTAGAAAATTCAATTTTCTATAAAAAAAATTTTTTCTTGATTTTTTTGTATCTCAGATATTTAGCCCAAAAGATTAAAAGATTGATCTTTTTCATAAGTAAGCGCTTTATTTATTTTGACTGAGTTATAACGTAGAATTTTGATCTCAAATTCTGGCTCAAAGACTAAAGATATAGAAAAATTGCTAAGGACCGTTCTTAAAGAAAATTTAATTTCTTCCAAAAAAGGTCTCTTATAATTTTTTTTGTAAGTTCAATAGTTTCTTCACAATATTGACTAGCAACCTTACAGTTACTATGTGACTGCCGTGACTTGTGAACTATAAATAAATAAAATTTTGCTTTGTTAAATTGCACTGTACTTTCTTAAATATTGACGTTTTTAAAGATATAAGCTCATCCCGATGTTACACTCATCTTTCATTTGAGTACCCCCATGCATTTTGATATATTTTTCATATGTATACATATATATAATATTTATAAATATATAAAAAATTGATGTGGGTACTCAAATGAAAGGTCTCGATGAGTGTAATGTCGATATGAGCTTATATCTTTAAAAATATCATTAATTGACAAGATAAAATGTCATTTTTTAAATATTGACATTTTTTAAAATATAAATTAATTTCGATGTTACACTCATCAAGACCTTTCATTTAAGTACCCACATGGCATTTTTTATATATTTTATATATATATGGTATTTGTGAAATATATAAATCTATAAAATATATATGAAAAATTGATGTGGGTACTCAAATGAAAGGTTTCGATGAGTGTAAAGTCGGGGTGAGCTTATAACTTTGAAAAGGCACAAATTCAGGTGAAAACCTTTGCATTGACACTATTTGCAATTTCACTGAA